AAAATTCTATTTTTTATTGTTCTGTATATATCATATAACATGTATGACCTATATCAACATATCATAAATCAGAAAATACTTTAAAGTCAATTAAAACATGTAATTATTTCAGAGCTTTTTAAAAGAACCAAAAGTAAAGAGTTTAACTATAACAGGCAGAATGCCATGACTTAAAGTGCAGATATAAAAACCAAGGAACTTATATCCACCTTTTGAATGTATGAGATATCAAAGGACTAAAATATTAGTCACTGATTGTGACATACTTCTTTTTACTCTGGTCCAGATCTCCTTGTAACATTATTTTTCTTTCTCTCCCTTGGTATGTGTCATCTTCCTACTTGTTTTCCCTGCATTTAACCTAATGCTTTTCTACCATTATTTCTAGTTAGTAAGAAATTCCTTTCTTGTTTCTCTACATTTTGTTTTATCTACTTTTTCTATGCTTATCCCTACTATCTGATCATTCTCTTTAGACAAAGCTTATTTATTTATTGCTTGTTTAATTATTGTCTTTCTCCCCTGTCCCCATTCCTTAACCTTTCCTGTACCCTAAACGCATGCACACATTTACACTAGACTGGAAGCTCCGTGTCGTGTTCACTGCAGTGATCCAGCACAAGAACAGTGCCTGGCACATAGTAGGGGCTCAGTGTATATGTATTGAATTAAGAAAATTAATAAACAGTATATCTTCATCGCAGATCAAATCTGTGCTCACTTTCTTACCATCTAGATTGTTTGTACCTCTCATAACACTTCATCCTATAATATACTTTCTGGTCTAGCTTTTTGGACAGCTACCATCTTCTCTACTCATGGCAAATCCCTTAAGGTCACATCCATCACCAAGTCTTCCAAAGACCTAGTATATTCCATTGCATGTAAGAGGCACTCAATATGCTAAATAAATCAAAAGCTCTTAGAAAAAGAACAAAAAGGGCCTCTAGATGCTAAAAGCAAGCTGTTCCTAGACTATAACAAAACATTTTCAAGTCTAATCTTTTTATCATTTCAAGCTCTCCCTAGATTGCTAAGAGAGTTTTCTAGTCTCCTTCATTCTTACCAGGCAACTTTTAGTGTTACTAATCTACAATAATCTAGCTTGTTTATTCAGCCATTGCAAGGAACTAAGCTAAACCACTGGGTATACAAAGGTGATTAAGACACTACTCGTCCATGGAGAAGCTCACGGTCTAATGGGGGAGGCTGACACTGATGTAATAATGAAATGCAGTGTAAAAGGTCCTATTGTTAAAGAATGAATGATGCAGCTAAGGAATAGAGAAAGAGGTCAACTTTCCTGGGGAGATCAAGAAGGCCTCTAGAAGAGACTGAGTTAGGCTTTTTTTGTTCCATTTTATTGTATTTTATTTCTCATTTAAAATTTTGGTGAGCTAATGCATTCACATGGTTCAAAATTTAAAAGAACAGAAACAATATAAACATTGACGACAACAAATGCTCATGAAAATGTGGAGCAAGAGGAACTATCATTCATTGATAGTGGAAATGCAAAATGATACAACCACTCTAGCAGTTTCTTGCAAAACTAAACATACTCTTGCCATACCATCCAGCAACTACACTCCTTGGTATTTGCTCAAATTAGTTGAAAACTTACATCCACACAAAAAACCATACATGGATATTTATAGCAGCTTTATTCACAACTGCCGAAGCTTGAAAGCAATCAAAATGTCCTTCAATAGGTAAATGAATAAAGAAACTGTGGTACATTAGACAATAGAATATTATTCCACACCAAAAAGAAAGGAGCTATCAAGCAATGAAAATACATGCATATTACTAAGTGAAAAAAGCTTATCTGAAAAAGGATAAACACTGTATGGTTCCAACTGTATGACTTTCTGGAAAAAGCAAAACTATGGAGACAGTAAAAAAAAAAAAAAAAAACAGTGGTTACCAGAGGTTAGTAGTGGAGAAGAAGGGATGAATAACATAGTACAGTGGATTTTTAGGGCAGTGAAACTATTCTATATGATACTACAATGGCAGATACATGTCATTACACATTTATCAAAACTCATAAAATGCACAACACCATGATGATGTGTCAGTGCAGGTTCATCGATTGTAACAAATAAACCATTCAGTTTTTGATTTTGTTGAAGGGAGGGCTGTAATGTGTGAAGGTAGGGGGCATTTGGAGATATGAGACACTGTACTTTCTGCTCAATTTTGCTGTGAACCTAGAAGTTCTCTAAAAAAAAAATTAAAAAAAGATAATACAGTGAAAGTATTGTTTTCATCCTTGATTCCTGGTTACTTAAGTCTCTTCTCCACAGGCACCATGTTTCTAGCTTCCTGAGTATGTTTCCAAGGATTTTGAGGTACACACAAACTATCTATGTCACATATCATATCTATAGATATGATTTCTCTCTGTTTTCCTCAAATGGCAATGTACTATACACTCTGTTTTGCACCTTATTTTTTTTCACCTAATGATATAATGAGATTTTTCCATACTGGTATAGAAAGAACATGTTTTATCTTTTTTTATAGCTGTATAACATTGTATGAATAAAAAATAATTTATTTGTCCACCCTTGATGGATATAGAAGATGTTTCTAATCTTTTGCTTTTACAAATAGCTTTGCAATGAATAATGTTGTACCTATGTCATTTTGAAAATAGGCATACGTATTTGTAAAAATGAAGTCCTTGAAATGGATTGGTAGATCAAGGAATCTGAGCATTTGTAATTTTAATATGTTACCAAGTTTTCTTTTATATGGAATTGTACCAAATTACACTCCCTACGGCAAAGTATGATGAGAGAGACTCAGCAAAAACATGTCATAAAACTTTGGATCTTTTTAAACTTCTTGGTAAAAAATAGCATCATGTTATAGTTTTAATTTACATTTCTTCTATTATGAGTTAAACATATATAAATATTTGAAAGCCACTTGTATTTCTTTTTCTTTGAACTGTTTTAATTTTTGGTCATTTCCTAACTAATCTATTGGTACTTTTAGTAAATTAAGAAAATTGATATTTATCTATAACAGTTGTAAATATTTTTCTCAGTTAATTTGTCTTTGACTTTATATCAAGTGATTTTTACCATTCAGATTTTTTAAAATATAGTTGAATTTATCAATGTTTTCTTTTATGGCTTCAGTATTTTTTGTCATAGAAAGATCTTATCACTGGAGATGACTAAAAAAACTTCTCATAAAAATATTATAAGGCTAATGCTTTTATAGCTCTATTTTTACATTTAAAGCTTTGATTCACTTTTAATTTATCATGAAGGTGGGTAAAAAGTATAGGCTTACTTTTTTTTCAGGCTAATCTTATCCTATCTAATTTCCCTCACACCATCCCCACTGATATGAGACGCCACTTTAATCATACACTAAATTCTTGTAAGCCCACTTTTGGATAGTGGGGGAAACCTGTAGTAACTTAGGAAGAATTGACGAATTTAATGGTTTGGATACTTCCTTCTGAGGTAATGGTATGCCGGTCCATCTATTCAAGTCTTTTATGTTGATTGGTTGTGTTTTTACAATTATTTGATACACTTCTTCTGTATTTCTTGCTAAGTTTATTCCTAAAATATTATCTTTTTTCTTTTATAAATGGAGTATTTTCTTTTATTATGACTTCTATATTGTCATTCATTTCTAGAAAGCTATTCATTTCCATATATTAATTTCAAACACAGCCACTTAGTTGAATAATTCCATTATTTGTAGCATCTTAAAGTTTTAATTTTCATGATTTTCTTGGTTTACAATTATGTCTTCTATGATTGAGATAATTTTACTTACTCTTTTCCAATTATTTAGAGCGTGCTCTTCAAGAAAACTAGTAAGGGAGAGAGTTAAGCAGGATTGAGAAGAAGAGAGAGCTGAGGAAGGATGTGGGTTTCAGGTAAAGTCCAGCCACAGCATGATCTACAGGGATCTTTTGTAGAATTTTCACCCCTTAAGATAAGAAGGTGGGCCTTTTATAGCCCCTTAGCAGTCAGTTACTGAGGGAGATGCCTAGTTTTCCTGGCAAGTCAGCTCCTATCAACTGAGGACAGATCTTTGGAGAAGAGGGTATAGCTATGAGCCTTTAGCAGTCAACAGTCACAGCACCTGAAGGGTATGTGGGTGGGCAAGATGCCAAACAGATTTAATCATACCTTATGTTAAAATACTTCCTATTAAAATGTTGACAGCATAAGAAGATATAATTATGTTGTAATACTTGAAAAATATGAGGCAAAAAGAGTTAGCTCTGCAATGAAATCCTTTGCCTTTTTTATGTTTTCCACTTTTTCAGATTTCTTATAGTTGGAACTCAGGTTGAGAATCAGAACAGAATCAATCAACAGGTTAACATTTACTGTGCTCCTACCATGTGACTCATTGTGCTGAGTGTCATTAAGAATAAAAAGAAATGCAAGATGAGGATTCTATCCTAGATCAAGAAGAATTTCAGAAAGAAGATAAGATTTGCATATATGAAAAAAATAATTAGACATAATACCATTAAACCAGGTATATCATACTGGGATTTCAGAGGAGAATCTTAGAATTAAGTTCTAAGTAAAATGCTTACTTTATAAATTTGAGTAATGGTGCTTAATATCTTTGTCATTTACTGAGTGGGGTATAAAATATTTTCCACCAACAAGTTTCAGGAAGTTGAAGGAGATAACAATGGGAAATTGTTCTAAATAACATAAAGGCAAAGACTAAAAGAACTGCCAACTATATTGTGTTGCTATTGGGCAAATTCCATTATGCAGAGATGGGAAGGGAAAGCCACAGAGTCAGTTACCTACACATTCATCTCCCTGGTGCAAGTGGTTATTGTTCTGTACCCAGTGGCAGGATTAGAAATACCAATGGGGAACAGTACACAAAGTTGTTGTGGAAACCAGAATGCTTCAGCGAAGAGTTACTTGCAGAGACCTTTCAGGATTATCGCATTCAATAAAAGCAACTATGTTTTGCTTCACTCTATGGCTGGACATCCCAATCAAATATCTATTTTGAAGGGTCCTTCAATCAGCTGTACTAAGTGAATATGGATTCAAGAGTCAGTAGATGGTGATCACATCACAAAAGTATATTTTATGTGTGGCGTTTTTGTATTACATGCTGGACTCTTGTTCACACTTACCCTAACTACTGTCAAGCTTTCTGGTTTCTGTAATATAAGAACAAAGTAGCTTGACTACTGCCACGAACAGAGAAACATTTCCTCCAATGTAGTTGCCATATGTATTGCCCAATACCGTGATACTGCGAACCTGTCTCTTCACATTCTCTTAACTTACTTTCGAGGCTAGACAGTAACCGCTAACTCTGCTCATAATTTTCATCCTTAATTGTGAATTGAAATTTTTCCAACTATCCAACAGGATATTTGAAAAAAAGTTTTTTTGTTTTTTTGTTTTTTTCCCTGAGAAAATGAGGATTTTCATAGCCTTTGAGGGCTCTTTTGAACCATTCGAAGTTTCAACAGATGAAACCGTAGAGGCTGTCAAGCTGATGATAAAGGTATGTACTTTTCGCTAAGCCACTAAAATGCATACTAATTTTAATTATGCAGTGAAGTTTAAACTGCATATGGGGTAGAGATTATATTTTTGGATACATTTTCAGCAAATGGGGAACTAAAACTATTTCAAAATATCATCGTTTGCTTACACTATAGTTTGATAAGAAGATAGTAACTATGGAAGTGTTAGACAGGAAAGCAAACTGAATCAGTAATTTCTTGAGAAAAAATCGTTAAACTTCTCTTTATGAAATCTGTGGGTTTTGCATGGGCCATATAGTATTGCTGCAATTCTTCATAAAAAGCAAAACAAACTCTAGGCTATATAAACGGAGTGTGCCAGTTGTCAGATAGATGGCTTGTTTGATGAGCAAGCAACTATAAATAACCAAAGTATTTGGGAGATAGAGAGGATTTTGGAGAACTTCTGGGCTACATCTTCATTGTGCATCCAGGGAAAATGAAGCTCAGAGAGGTTGCATCTTACCTAGGATCACAAAGTCAGAATAAGAACAATTTGGGTGTAATAACTTTATCTTATAAACTTTATATAAACAGTTACTCTAAAATGGAAAATTAGGACAAATATTTAAGTTTTGACCATCAAATGGTATTTGACTTGGAAATGATCATAAGGAGCATTTACTGAATCATGATATTCGATAGATTACTGGGATCACTGAAATCTAGATCTTCGATCACAGAGGCTCTTAACCTTTATGTGGCATGGATTCCTTTGGTAATCTGGTGAAGCCTATGGACTCCTTCTTAGAATGTCTGTAAATGCATAAAATAAATACATACAAAGAAAAGGAAACCAGTTATACTGAAATATAATTTTCAAAGATTAGAAAATACATTTATGATATAGTGATATGTGGGCTTCTTTATTAAAACATTAACAAGTTCTAGCAGTGTATCCGATAACTATTATAATTTCAAAGTAGTGATCAGTATAATATTTTGAGATAACTGCAGTAACTATAATGTGATATGAAAATATCAGTGATTCCTTTCAGTGACAAAGTCACAGGTACAGCCAGCTACTGTTGCCTACATCCATAACTGAAAGAAAATCTCAACTTCATTTGGAATTAATAAGAATGAGTTATAGTTTTATCCCATCTAAATTCTATCCATAAACTTTGGGAAGCTCTATAGACTCCAAGTTAAGAACCCCTGTTTAAAACTTCTTCCTTCCGTCTCAAACAATTTTATAATGCTCGGTGGGAAAATGTAAACAAAAAGAAATTACATGTTAGTTTGGTAATGTAAATATGTATTGATTTCATAATATGCTATTGATTTTTAAGGATTATTTCCACATTCCTCTCTCTGAAGATGAACAAGGGAGGCGGTATCTGGAGCTGACGTATGCTGGAGCAGCCCTAGAGGACAGCTGGAATCTCGCTGATGTTGGAATATCCTTTTGTTCAACTCTCAAATGCTTTGTTAAGGTATGATGATCAGTATAACATTTGTTCAAGATGCCTATTTCATTTTGAATAAACTTGTGGCTACTTCAATGAAAGTAATTTCATTACTTAGGAAGAGGTATACTCTTCTTGCCTTCTCCTTGTCTCTTCCACTTGTATAACTGGTGTTATGTACAATTTGTGCTGTAAGGGGCAATAAGGTATAGAGACTGCCTCAAGTTTCCCCTTCTTTCCCTTCCTATCTAATTTGTTGCCTGCACCAAACAGTCATCACAGAGCAACCCACAAATATTGGAATAAGGCCAAGAGGAGGATCTTGAATATTGATATAGGTAGAAAATATTTAGGTCACTTCCATGGGTCCACAATGGATTAGGAGCAGTGAAGTGAAGAAAGGGAAAAAAGTCTCAGTAACAATAAGCATGAATGGGCAGATTCTGCATTCAAATCCAACCAGAGTAGCCATTTATGAATTAGGTGTATATACAACAGAGATAGCCTTTTCCATTTATAAGGTCCTTAATCTGTGGTGCCTGATTTGGGGACCATAGATGGGCTTTAAGAACTTTATAAAACCCTAAAACTGTCACATATGAAAAATTACATCTCTGGAGATTTTCTGAGTGGAGGATTTTTAATATTTGACAATTTCTTGAAGAGACAGGTGGCCTAAAGAGCTTGATTTGCTCCCTAGGGCAGAAATATTATTCAGTATTAGTTCTTTACCCCATAAAACATGAGCCTCAAGGAATTTAGCAAAGTACATATTCCCTGCCAAGTGAGGCACTTATTTTCTCATATTTAACATTTTAAAAAATTTATGGTAGCCAAAGCTTACTCTCTTTGTTTTAATGTTTTACTAGTTGACTAAGTTGGAAGTCTATATTTAAAAGGAAAATTCTAAAATATTTATTATTATGTATTAAAGACAAGTCACAGAAAATAAGCATTATATCATCCTGTTTATGTAAACAAAAAGACCATATTTGTATATGTGTCTAATATTTTTCAGCATTTAGTCATTTATCATTTTAATATTATTAAAGAATTTTTAATTATCAAAAAGGGAAATAAAAACAACTCTGATTTCTTCTTTTCTTCCTCTGACATTCAGAAAATTGTAATATAATACTTTTTAAGCAGATTAAATTCCATATCATTTCTTAAATGTCTTTTCTTTTAGATCTTTAAATATACTTATACATTGTGGTTTTGGTACTATATAGGTTAACCTTCTAAAATTTCCTGGAATTTTTCAATGTCCATAATGATATTTAAGACATTTCTATTGTATGCTTAGTTGGAGACAGTGATACAAGCTGATTACTAATATTTGAGCTAGCTGGAGGAATTTGATTGAAACATAGGTATTCAGAAATATAGATAAATTGTGTCAAGAATATGAATAGGATACCATTATTTAACTAAGAACTGACTTTATTTTTCTTATTTAAAATTTTATTAATTTTTGACTAGGTAGGACATTCACACGGTGCTCACTTCAAAAGATACAAAAGGATATACAGTAAGAAGTCTCCTTCCTATCTCTGGCTCCCAGTTTCCCACCCCTGAGGCAACCTGTGTTCATAGTTTTACTTATAAAAATATTTCATTATGACAATAAAGTACCATCTATCACAGTGATGCAAGCCTCTTTTGCATTGAACTCTAAACTTCTCAGGAGTTTAAACTGTTAATAAAAAAAATTGAGTGTAGAAGTTAAAAGGGTTTGTTAAAGAGAGTCAAGATATAACCAAGTGTCACAAGACTGGCCAACACATAGGGTTTAATTAAAAATTCTCAAGTTCCAGGGAAATCTTACTGACCTTAATATTTACCTTCTCCAGTAGAATCATGTTTAGAGAATTTCTTATCACTGGGTTTGAGAAAGAAAATATTATCTTTAATCTGAAGGAAGAGAATTACCTGCAAAAGTCATAAATACTGGTTTCTATCCTAACTTAGCTCCTGTTTAGATTAGATAATAAAATAGGCCTATTCCAAAAATTCATATAATTTCCTGTGTATGTATAACAGTCCAAAACGGGCTTAGAACAAAAACACTTCATAAAAATATCCATGCCATAAGGAAAGCAGTCATATCTGCTTTCTGCTGTTTGATCCGCCTTATGTAAACAAAGGCTGTATTCTAAGTCATGTTATTGCTTTATTGCATAATTAGACATATACAAATTATATAGTACCTTTCCTATATTACTTCACACAATTAGTTCTACCTACTGAGAATCTAGAAAAGCTAGAGTCTCTTAATTTATTTTGGTACAACTTAGAAATATCAAGATGTGAACCAAACACTTTTATAAGGTTTAAAAACTTGGCAAGTAAGCAATTTTTCTTTTTAAAAAGGTGCAAGTAGATATAAAATAATTAAAATATTTGCTTTATTGTGTTTATTTTTTGTGTGGATTACAAGGTTTTGCTTAATTTATCTGGGAAAGACAGATAAATTAAGAGGTGATCTACTCTTAAGTACATTTTTTAAATAGTCAATACATTTTCCAGTTTCCCTGCATATTACATCTTCTTTCACGGTAATGTAGACACATTTGGAAAAGTCAGTGGGAAGGGGGGTGACATAAGAATAGTGGGAAAAGAACATTGCATTAATTTTTCCTTTTTTTTTTTTTTTTTTTTGTGAAAAAACTCCTATAGAAACCATAAGAAATACTTTCTATGGCATATACCTCCAAGCTCTGTTAACATAGGAATTAGTCCTGCCATTAACTATGGATGCTGTTGCAGTTCGCTAAGTTCCTGTAAACCATGGCGTGAGGCATTGCCAAGGCCAAGGTGACTGTCCAACATACGGAGGTGCTGTTGAATTTGCCTCCCTCATTCTAACCGGTGTTACTGTGGAAATTATAGCTTGATTTTGTTCACTGTTGTAACCCAGTACCTAGAGTAGTACCCGGGACATAGTAGGCTCTTCATAAATTGGTGTTGAATAAATGAGTTGATAAAGGCCTTGAGAGGCAAAGTATGAAAATTAACAAGAAAATACGTGATTGCTATCTGAAGCAGCTATTAAGTTAAGATGCATTTCAGGGTTTGGATTCTCTACCTTACTATGGCATCTCTCCTCCCTCTCTACTCTCATGGCAAGGTGCTCCTGTATCTTTGCCCTTTTCGCTAGCCAGCATCAGGGTTTTTAGCTGCAAGCAGCAGAAATGAACATTAGACAATTTAAGCAGAAAATAAATGTATTGAAAGGCTATGAGGTAGTTCACAGTTTTGACAGAAAGATTGGAAAATCTGGCTCAGAGATTATGCAGCCAGAAACAATTTCTAAATCATGGCCAGAACTAGTCCAGAAAGACCACCAATGCAACCATCCTTGAGCCTTTGAAGCAGGCACTGGATACTGCTGCCAGCCTTGCTGCCAGGACAGAAATGCTTCAGACCCGCCACCACAGTGTGGATTCCCCCTTTGCTGCTTCTCTGTCTTACTGGCTCCTAATTCTAAGTGAGAGTGGATGATTAGGCCTATTGGGAGCAGCTTGGTCACAAGTCCAGGACCTACTGCAAAATGGACTGAGAAGCAACTATCTGGCAGGTTGTGCCTTCCAAAGTGTGAGGTGGGCTCAGTGTCCCTAACACTCCTCTGGTTTCCCTGACTTCTATCATTATACTGCCACCAAACCACGGCTGGGTTAAAATTTAGTTAATCCGTTTTGGCACCCTTGGAATGTTGTTTTATGGTAAAAGATTGGATTAATTGTGGTGCCATTGAGTAGATGTTTATCAGACAAGTTGTAGAAGTTTGAACAATACACTTTGAACTAATAGGTTTAAAAATGATTCAAAATAATCTACATTTTAGCTTTTGAAAGGCACTATTAATGTATAAACACCAAAATCCAGGAGACACATATATGAATGTAGATTTTAAATATAGTTTTATACACAAAAACATGTAAACATGCTTCATAAAAATGAATAATAAAAATGAATGAAAACATGTTTCTAATGGCTATCTTTTCTAAGATAAGACACAGAGAATAGTATGTAAAGTATTTGGTGAAGAAAGATGTTTAAATTCAGTGTTCTAGACTCCAAGCATAACCTCTCTGGGATGACTATCAAGCAAAGGGACAAGTTTATGAGGTTAGATGTTTATGAAGACATCTCAGCTTGAATTCATTCAGTTCGACAAAAACAAACATTTCCTCTTTCAGTCTACTCTGGAAGGTTGGGGCAAGTTTCTGCTTATTTGGTGCTGCAACTTCAAGAAAGCAAAATATAAAAAAGCAGAACTTGCGAAAAATGGTGTATATGATAGAAGCTTTGTTCATCTCCTCTTGCGACCATATCAGAACTGTGACAGAAACACAGCAAATAGCAAGCAGAACCTCCTGGATCTAGATCAAGAGAAGCCCTACAACCAGGGAGAGAAATAAAAAATCACTCTGAAATGGTCGGAAGTAGGAAGGGGCCAAGACTGCCTGGTCCCCAGCAGCTGAGTGGAACGAGGCTGCCTGGTCCCCAGCAGCTGAGTGGAACAGAGGCTACAGCATCTGCAGCCAGCAGCTGTGGGACGTTCCCCATAAGGGGGCCGTGTCCATGACCATATTTTTGCGGTGACTGGCCTGCTCACTCTGACACCAGCACCTAGTTGGCTCCTGGATGGCAGGAGGGGGTAAGGGGGCAGGGGAAAAGGGGGCACCAGAGACTTACAAGGGAATACTGAGTTGTTGAAAGAGGGCTAGATTTAAGGTTTTCTCCTGAGCATAAGTGCCCACAGTATCCATTGTTTCTCTGTTGAGCCCTCCCCCACTCGCAGTGTGTGGAGGTAGCACTGCCATCATCAAAGGTAGCTGAGACATTATCAAACTGGATAATGGAGGTCGCTCTGCTCAGAGGATTCCCTGAAGCTCTGCCCCAACTCATGGCCCTACCCAAACCACATCCAGCTGTGTTCTCCTGCAAGTCCTGTGTCATTTGCTGAGCAGCACCAAGACTTATACTGGCCTTGGTTTCTGGCATGGCTTCTTGAGGCAACTATAAGCACAACTATGGATTGCTTGCTGAATCTTAACAGGTGGTTCCAGAGAAGCACAGGCTGGGGCTAAATTTGGCCTGCAGCTGAACCCTTCTCAGGACTGTGCTGCTGGACACCTACTATACAAAGCCAAACTAATAAGATCAGGAGACATAGGAGCTTTGATTAGTACATAGAAACAGACACAGAAAACTAGCCAAAATGGGAAGACAAAGAAGCAGAAACCATATGAAAGAACATAATAGAGATTAAGGAAAAATAGAGTCAAGAAATCTAACAGATACAGAGTTCAAAACACTGGTTATAAAAATGCTCAATGAAATTAAGAGACATGTATATGAACTCAGTAAGAACTTTAACAAAGATAAAAAACATAAAAATGGAAATGAAAATTATAAAAGGGAACCAGTCAGAAATGAAGAACACATTATCTGAGATGAAGAGTATATTAGAAGGAGTCAATAGGGTAGATGAAGAAGAGGATTGAACCACTGATATAAAGGACGGAGAAGACAAGGATAACCAATCAGAATGGCAAGGAAAAAGTAATAATTTAAGGAGCCTATGGGACAAAATTAAAGGTAACAACATTTGTATCATAGGGGTACCTGAAGGAAAAGAGGGAGAACAAGAAGTTGAAAACCTCTTTGAAGAAATAATGATGGAAAATTTCCCTAATCTGGTGACGGAAATAGACATACAACCCCAGGAAACTCAGAGAGCACCACCAAAAAATGAACCCAAAGAGGCCCACACCAAGGCACATCACAATTTAAATGCCAAAGTTTAAATACAAAGAGAGAATCTTAAAAGCTGCAAGAGAAAAACAATTCGTTATCTACAAGGGAACACCCATAAGACTGGCAGCGGATTTCTCAAAAGAAACTTTGCAGGACAGAAGGGTTTGGCACAAAATATTCAAAGTGATGAAAACCCAGAATCTACAACCGAGAATATTTTATCCAGTAAAGCTATCATTTAGAGTCGAAGGACAGATAAAGAGCTTCCCAGACATAAATAAGCTAAGGGAATTTATCATCACCAAGCCAGGAAATGTTGCAGGAACTTCTTTAAGAAGAAAAAACAGGTATCAAAACATGAATAAAAAATAGTAATAACTACATTCCTATCAATAAGTACCTCAAATGAAAAAGAAGTGTTTCAGCCAGAAGATAGAATGGCTGAATGGTTAAGAAAACAAGACCCCTACATATGCTGCCTACAAGAACCTCACTTCAGATTAAAAGATACACACAGACTAAAAGGAAGAGGATAGAAAAGATATTGCCTTGATGGACCTAGAGGGTTTTGTGCTGAATGAAGTCAGATAGCGAAAGACAAATATCTCATGATTTCATGTACATATGTAATCTAAAGAACAAAATAAACGACACCAACAAAAACGGAAACAAAAAAAGATACAGAGAATGTTTTGAGGGCTACTAGACAGGGTGGGGTTTGGGGGACAGTGATAAAGGGTAAAGGGATTAAAGGGATTAAGAAATACAAATGGATAAATACAAACTAGTCATGGAGGTATAAAGTATAGCATAAGGAAAATAGTCAACAATGTTGTAAAAAAATATGTAAGCGGGAAGAAGGGTACTAGAAGTAGGAAGAGGGCTACTAGAATTAGTGGGGTGACCACTTCATGAGTTACATAGGTCTCTAATCACTATGCTGTATAACTGAAAGTAATGAATTATTGTATGCCAACAATAGTTGAAAAAAATTCACTGAATTGTACAATATAAATATGAGCAGTTAATTGTCTATTATGTTTCAATAAAGCTGGGGAAAAAAGAAAAAAGCAGAACTTGTGAAAAAAAGATAGCAGTATTCAAAACTTGCATTAACTTCTGTTTTCTTTCCGTTTCTTTAGCTATTTCTATTTTATTGTTAATGTGCATGTATGTATTTACAGTGAATTGCATTTGTTTTTTGAGGACAAAAGTGGAATTATTCCCATGAAACTGATCTATATATGTGTTTTTATTGAAAAGTAAGACACTTTGCATGTGCCACCTACCTTGGTGTCTTGTAAAGAAGAAAACATAATTTTATGTATGTCCAGCAAATATTTGTGTATAAATTGTTTATTTAACAGCATCTGACTTCCTTGGGTATAACCACCAGTGCTCCCTCATTCAGAATACTTGAGGAGGGTGTCCTACAGAGAGATGCCTCTCTTACGTAGATAAGGTGAGCTAGCAGATTGCCATTAACCACATCTACCTGCTCCTTCTTCACAAAACCGAAGTGAGGAAGTATCTCCAGCTGGTGAGCCTCATTAGACCTTAAATTGGGTTTTTCTACAAAAACAAAGTTTAGAAAATGGTGGATATATTGAGTTAAAATAGTTCAATGAGGACTATGTTCCAGACACATTATGAATTGAATGGGCCTGAGAAGTTCCTGGATGCTAAAAATAAATAAATAAATAATCTCTGTAGGTGTTAATTTTCTTGAGACTTATGAATCTGGCTTCATTAATAATTAATATTTTCTTCCTTGCACTTTTGATTTTCATCTAAAAATTGTCAGATATTTTACAATCCTCTCTTATATTACTTATTTCAGAGCTATATGTATACCTAGTTTATAGTCATTTATTTTTACATATATATAGATGTTTATTTGTATTCTGAGAAACTTATTTCTCTAACATTATATAGTAGCTAGTTAGCTGTTAAGAGTAATTTGAGCCTTTGATACTTTGTTTGTACATTATCCATTTAATTCTAAACATAAATTTGTATTCAAACCAAGGGTTAAAGGGAAATAGGGGTAATCATAAAAGAAATAAGGAACAGCTATTATATAAATGTAATTATATAAAATTATATATAAATATAATTTTTCTCTTTTCCTATATTTTAATTCAGTTTTCATAGGAATTTCTTCCTGCTCATAAATGTCACATGAATTAGGTTGGGCATGTACTTGCCTTAATGGAGCCATAGTAAAGCATGAGCATGGTAAAAGTGAAAGGGTGAATCCTATGTCCTTTCAATTTTTATTGAGTGGATTTATGAGAAGCTATTGAGAAAGATTGTTCCAAGCACTTTAGACTCAGGGAGCAGCTCAGCTTGCTGGATGGCTTATGCTCAGTGGAAGAGAGCCAGAACCTGCTCTCAATGATTTGAGTCACTAAAATAGATCTTAAATCAAAGCACCACAGCCTAAACTTCCATCAATAACATTATTCCTTATAGGCTCTTTCAAAGAGATTTGCATGTTGATTATATTATGGCAATGTGTTATCTGGAAGGTGAGGAATAAATTTAATGCATTATAAGCCTGAAGCAGGGAGGGGCCCCTGGAGAAACCAGGCGAATTTTAATGGGAGAAAGTGGGAGGGAAACAAGAAAGGGACAAGTGTGCAGTGACTGGCTGGAGCCCCCTCGAAAAACCTGTAGGCCAGATGCTGGCTCCTCAGTTTTGCTCAAGGTTTGTAGAGGACAGGCCAGAGTTACAAAGTTGTGGGGCACTCAGTGGCATCTCTGTGCACTCACATCTGCCAAGCCAACAACAGAGCACTAAAGAAAACCATGATTGACCTGAATCTGCTAAAGAGGAAGTAAAGCCAGTTTCACTTTTATTGTTAGAAAGGTGAAAATGTTAATCTTTCCTCCCCTCTCCCCATTTTCCCCATTTGCTATGTTTTTAGTTTGGGTTTGGCTTGATTTAAGTTGTTAACCAAAGATTAATAATACCTCTCCCAAACTTTCCTTCTTAAAACTATTTCAGCTATTTCAGTTCCACTTGCTTTCCCATTTAGACTACAAAATAAAAGAAACAAAGGACAGTTTTTATTCACTTACATTTGTGTTGTTGCCACCAGCCCCCGATAGACAACCGGACCACCAGAAATCAGTGAGTTATAGGAAACACACCCTTTATTCAGCCAGCTGTGTCTGCCAGGGGTATGCAGACTCCAAATCAAGCAGCCCCGAGATGCAGAGGTACAGGGTATTTAAGCCCTAAACCCCGTACCTCTGCATCTCGGAGTACAGGATATTTTTTCTTCTTTTTACTAACTGTCAACCCACAGATCGGTTGTACAAGTGGGGATACAAAAGCAGAAAGCTTATTGTTAGAGCGTTATGTTCCCATGGGCGATAGCCAAGCAGTAATTTTTCAGCTAGCACATTTGGTACTTCTTTTTTTAAATAATAAATGTAAATGCACGTGGTTATTTTTTTTTTGAAAAGGACAAAGGATACAGACAATGAAGAGCATAAAAGGATAAGCAAAACTCCCCTCCCAGCCTGAACTCGGTTCCACTCCCCAGAGATAACCTTGTACAGAAAGGATTTTTTTAAATTGAAGGTTTAGAATCCATAGTATTTCCAAATTAAAGTGCATCATGACAGTTGTTTCAAAAATAACACGTCCTGAAGCTCAGCATGGATATAAATTATCCACACTCTTGTGTATTTGGGTCTGTAGACTTAGAAGTAAGAAGGATCCCAAAGCCCTGCCAAGACTCCTTCACTTTACTCAAAACAGAACTCAATATCCTCAGACAGAAGAGCAAGACTCATACCAGAAGTCAAGAGACTTAACTAGCCTTTGCTTTCATCCTTAGCACCCATGTGTGGGAACTAGAAGCACTCAGAGCTACCCTCCTAAATGTTTGTCCCTGTGTCAACCTCCAGATGGTGCTTATTTCTGAGCTCCCTCCTTTTCTTTCTCCATAGGAAGAAGATAAGCCTACTCTTTATGTGTTCAATGCAGTGACCCAAGAGATGATGCCAATAATGGAGAGCACTTCCCTTCTTGGTAAAAAAGTGTCTCAGCTGAGAACACTGGTAGCTCTGAGATGTGGCTTCCCTGTGAGTGTCTTCTGTCTCCGGACTCCAAGGGGACTGGAGATGTACGACTGCAATACCCTCAGGGACTACCAGACTGACATCGGTACTTCCCCTACACTTGACCCAGCTACTACTCAGCACTAGGGTTCTTTGACACTAGACTTGCAACAGATGGAGGAGTTGTTTCTAAACTAAAACTTCTGTAAGCACAGTGTGGATGTAAATTATCAACACTACTCTCTGGTGTCTGGTTCTGTACACCAAACATAAGAAAGGTCTCATAGCCCTGCCCTGTCTTGCTCTCTTTACTCAAAACAAGAGGACTTAATATTCTCAGGATGAAAGAGCAAGACTCAAACCAATTTATAGTTTTCTCTTTCAAAATATCTTTCAAGTATATATAAAAGCAAATTCAAGTACATATTCTTTTTCCTCTTTTTAACATGTGGTAGCAAATATACACACTGTTCTGAAACTTGCTTTATGCAATTTCATTTTAAAATATTGTCAGTTATACTAACCAATCTTTCAAATAGGGTAAAACCAATACTGCGCAGGCTGAACAGCTGCCTCACTGAGCTGGCATTCATCCTTCAAGGACAGATTACAACCTCTCTTTAAATATTGTACTTCCAGATCATGTCTGCTGTAGCCATACACCATTGAGACAAACTCAGAAGACTGTCAGTGTTGTTTTTACCATATTGGAAATGGCTCAAAACTTACAGAGATTCTTGCTTGAGGCAAATGAGTCTTCGCCGACATTTAGCACATCTTTAGTTAAGGTTGTGCTGTAGCATTTGTCACAATGGAATTTGAGCTCTTCCAGCATACAATAGGGCTTTGTAGACACTCTTCAGTTCAGCAGCTTTGTCCTTTATAATTGCTAAATTTGCATTTATTGTTACTTCTCCTGACTATTACATTTGCTTATTCTTTCCTGTTATTTTTAATTGAGGCTCTCAAAATTTTGACATCAATTATCACCCCTGTTTTTGATCAGAGGAAGCAACATTCTAGGATTTGTCCTCAGAGTACTTCATTGTGAAGCACACACCTACTCGGTGAGCTTGCTGGGGTATCAGCCCTGCCCAGAACATAGCAGGGGCTTAAGTAAGGCACACAGTGGCATTTGTCCCTAAGCAATTTATGATCTAGTTATCTGACAAAATACCAAAGGATAAATGAGAAAATTAGGGTGATTGCTCAGATCACGATGTGACATTTGGCCCAACCCCCAAATTTTTACAGATTTAAAGAAAGCAAAAAGCTTCTGAATGCTTAAATAGTTTGCTCAGGGTGTGTCAAGAATTACATCAGCATCTTAAAATAACCCTCTAGGAATAAGGGTTTTCAGATATAAACTTAGAAGCTCAAGCATGACCAGGGTAAACTGCTTTGGCCACCATGAGGACACAAGGCATGGGAAGAGAGGCAAGGAAAAAAGGGTCTCAAAGGAAAAGGAGGAAGTATTTGGCATAAAGCACCCCTAATATTGCTTAAGTAGCCCACCTTTTTAAAATAGAGGGTAAAGTAGTCTTTGATCAGCCTCTCTTCCAAGTTCTCTTCTTTCTAGTCAATAAATTATCCCTGGTGCTTTCTGGAGTTGAACCTTGACTTTTTCCAAAGGCAGTGGAAAATCAGAAGATTTTGGGGAAGCAGTCAATTTCAGATTGAAAAATCAAAGATTTCGGTAGCTCAATTAGTCATCACACATGCTAGCTCATACGGAAATATACAAAACTGCCTCTGCATTCTGGTCATTTACAATAAATTGTTAGAAACGAGGCATGCACATATACTCAGTTATAATCCAATAAGACAGCTAGCTCAGTGTAGGCCAAAAGGCTCAAGGGAAGGCATTCTGGAGAATGTGGGGCTCAAGCACACAAAGGTGCAGGATCATCTGAGAGGGGGAAGGGAAGAAATTTCTGCTTCTGGGCCAGGAGAAAAACACGAGCCACAGGTTCATGAACATGGGCTTAATGCAGGGAGAACAGAAAGCAAGACATCATTCTGAAGAGTGGAGGAGCCTTGCTGAGACCAATGGAAAACATAGCTGAAGTCAGATTGAGAAGGGAATTAGGAATGAGACAACAGAACACAGGCTTAATGTGCTTGCAACCAGAGCCATGTCCATTCTGGAACAGGAGTGCTTTAACAGAAGTTTAATCTGCTAACAAGCAGCATGAAATATTGAAAGGAGTGAAGAGAGACTAGAAGCAGGGTGATATGCTAATTGGCACTTTTGATAATCCCAGTATTAACTAATTCCACTAGCAATGGATAAGACAAATCTGAGAAGCTCAGGAGGAAGGGAAAGAATGTCATCCTGGATCATATTAAAGAAGAGGGAAGAACAAAGTTTAGACAGCAGTGGTGAAAATTAGGAAAAGGAACTTATGCTTTGGGTCCTAAACTTTAGATATAAGGAAACTCATAGTATCTTTTTTCCTGCACGTTACTGAGCTAGATAGTGGCAAAGCTGTTAAGTACAACTGAGATCATCTAATTCTCCTCCACAACAGACATGGAGCTAGGGCTTGAGTGATAGTTTGAATAGCAGATATTGTTATAGGTGTCCTGCCCATGGAGTTGGGCAACGAGTCCTATGAGATATGGTTTCCTTAGATAGTAAATAGAGAGGGACATGTCAAGGCACAAGGATTAAAGACATCCTGAATTTAGGGCAAGTAGATCGAAGAGGAGTCAGAAAATGATACCCAGAAAACTGTCAGAGTCAGGAGAACTGGGACTTTGCATTGTTGCAGACGATAAAGAAGAGACTTCTAGGATGCTGGTAAAAGGCCAAAAACAATGCCTGAGAAAAAACTTTTGATTTGGCTTACTGGTTTTATTGGTGAACTCAGAGAGAGCAGTTTCAATAAAGTGGATGGAGACAGGAATTTTGTAGGGATTAAGAAGAAGATAATAAGGAATTAATGAATTTTTTTGGTGATAGAATATTTAATAATTAACTTATCAAGAATTTATCAAACCTAAACATCCCCTAAAATTTATGATTTTGTGACTTGAGGTTTAGTAGCACATCATATAGTTACACACACACACACACACACACACACACACACACACACACACCCTTCTTTTCTTGTAACAACTTATATGAGATAGATGTTCATTTTAGCCCACTTCTAGCTCCTACGTCTCTGTCCTGGCTCTTATAGCTTCTTATCTGTGTACTTGTCTGCTTGTTATTGTCTACATTTTATATATGTTTATAAACTGACATTAATCCTTTCTGGAAGAAGGTGTGCCTAAACAAATGAATGAATGAGTGAATGCCTTTCTTTTACAGGATGATACCATCGGTACTTTTCACTGTAAATGTCTCTTGCCATGTATTCATGGCTAGCCTGAACATACCATATCCAAGAGACTGTTTCAGGAGCAGGCCCTTGTCCGCTCAAACCCTGAAATCTGGGCTGGCTCCAGGGTTCCTCTATCAGGCTCCCTTAGGCCCCTTGGAGACCTACTGTGCCATTTTAATTCCTTTTACAGATGAGAAAATAGGCTCAGAGAAGTTAAGAGACCTGCTCAAGGTCATACTGCTAATAAACGGTAATTGCACACTCAAGATTAGGTTGTTTCCAACAATTTATATTGCCAACCGAGCAAGCCTTTATTGAAACCTATTATTATTGGTACTCTTTAAGTTCTGATCAGTGTTTCATTTTGTTTCCCATTAGCAGAAACCCAAACCAGAGAAATGGCTTCCACATTTAGGAAGAAAAAGCCCAAGTCCAATAGGCAGACCCTAGAGTATAGAGACAGGGAATCCAGAAACTTGGGATATAGGGGATACATGGGGAGAGGCTGGACGCTATTCCCTAGAATGGGCGCTATTGCTCACACCTGCTTTCCTGCATGGCTTGAGTGGGAATGGTAGATAGGTTTACAAGAAGAGAGTGGGTGGGTCCAGGTTTTGTAAATATACACAATTTGGGGAATCCTCTTAAAAAATAATCCAAAATTAAGAATAATGAATTAGAAAGCTTATGTAGTGAGAGGCCCTGAAGTGTAAGTCTCAGTAGTTTTACTTTCACTTCAGTTATAGATTTTAGTTGTATTTTCCAGAACATAGCATTTTTCAAGTAAATGTCTATTTCACAACAGAATTCCTAAGCTTATAAAGGAATTTAATGTGTGACAAAGAGGCACTACAAATCGATTGCGATGAAAAGATTAGCTAATAAATGGTGCTGGTTAACTTACTTAGAAATTCTCTGGATAAACAAAAGTTGAGCATTAAGAGAAAAACCATCCATTGTTATCTTTATTCTTTGAGAAATTAAAGCTGCTTTATTGAAAGGAACTGAAACAGATAATTTTAACACCCGTAACATTTAATTCCCAGATAGAGAATTAAAGCAGAATAAAATACAGGGCTAATGGAGGTGTCCTACTATTGATGAGAATTTAAATCATATAGCTTTCTCTGTAGTTTTGAGAATCAGGGCTCATTAGCAGTAGACAGGTTGAGCTAGGGAGAGCTGAGATGCTAAGGTGAGGCAACCACTTAGGGAAGGAAGGATGGACCAGAAAGACCCCACCTGTAGATATCTAGCAGAGGGAGGTTAGCATCAAATAAGTCCTGGTAGTGGGAGTCCTTGAATAGGCAGGTCAGTCTGCAAGTAGCAACTGGTAAAATCAAGAATAGGCAGAAGGTGAGCCTCAGGGAGATTTGACAGGGACTTGATGGGTAAACCATAGCATAGCATCAAGGTAGTAAATTAATAAATGAATGAATGACATCAGAGGTGGGAACCTAGACAAGCTGGTTGCTGACATTGAAGGCTCTGACAACATGTTATAGAACTCTAATCCCAGAGACTGGGGTTCAGAGTAAGAACTTCAGAGTAAGAACTAGGCTCAGAAAACAGAGATGGGACCTCTGTTCTAAAACCCAAAGAGTAAGCTAAGATACTGGGACTTATGCTCTGGGGCACGAGGTGAGGGCTTCGTCAGGAGAACTAAGGCAAGTTACTAAAATAAGGACAACATCTGAGTAGGATGAACAGGAACACCAACTTCCCACCAAACCTCTGAGCTGTTGGCCTAGAATCTTAACATATCCCTTCCTAGTGAAAATAAGATTGTTCCCTGGCTCTGGGACTGGTCTGGTTCTTCAAATGGAGGCTGTATGATCTCAACTGTGCAGGACCAAGGAGGCTGGGGTATATAATGCCAGGCTAAAGCTTTTCAAGTTCATCTGTGATTTTCATAGTAATCTAAAAACATAGCAAATCATTTAAGTCAGGAGATAAAATAAATGCACTTGGGACAGTGTTTTGTTCCCAGTGCTACCCATAAGAATCAAACATTTTATAAGAAAGTTTAAGTACAGCAAGAAGCATTAGAGAAACTAAATCTATTATATGAGGATGATCCATATTTTGGAAAATATTTATCATGGCATTTCTACAGATATCTGCAGAACAACTACATGGTCTCTACAGAACAATTCTATAATTCTCCAGCAAAAAGAGTGAGCTCTCCTAGCCAAGGCCAGATTTGTGACAGTGGAGGCAAGCTGGAGGGATGACCAGGCTCTGTGAGTAAACAAGCTTGGCAAATAATAATCAACACACAAAGGAAAGTGAGGCCAAGGTCAAGAAATATAAAACCAAAGTAAAAAGTAACAGAGGGCCAACCCGCACTTCAGGATTATGCGTATAACATAGGATAACCAGAAAGCAAAGACTCAGCAGAGAGAACATATACTTGGATATGTGTCTACCTGTGGAGTGGAAGCAAGAAGGAAAAGAGAGGGAGGCAGAAAAGAAAGAAAAAGAAAGCAACTGAAAGGAGGAAGCTTTCTAGGCATTATAGAGTCTGAAAGACAAATCCCAGGCCAAATTCTACTCCCAGTTTACTGTATAACTCCAGGCAATTTACCCATATCTTTGTGCTTCAGCTTCCTGGTCTATAAAAAGGGGCCACTGAGTGAACTGGTCTTTTTATCTTCAGTATTCTGTGACCCTAAGATTACGGGTATTACGCTATCCCAGCCAACAAAAATAAGCACATTTAGAAGCTTTGTATGCCTTCAAAATGCTAATGAGACCAGCATCCCTTTCTACCTCCCTCTCTCCTTTCCTTCTTATCTGCACATATTTATTATGAGCCTACTGTGTGTCTGAGCCTGAAGATATGTATGGATAACTTAAGTCATGCACACATTCCAGCTCCTACTGCCAAGGCTATCATGTTGATTCAAAGAAGGCCTATCTATAAGCTGTCCAGTGACATCAGCTATCACAGCTGAACCAATTAGTCTTGTTTGGAGACAAGTATGACATAGAAGACAGGAATATGGGCATAAGAACCAGATTGTCCATGTCCAACTCCTACTTTTGCTACCTACTGGGTATGTAAAACCTGGGCAAGTTGCTTAATCTCATAATGCCTCAGTTTCCTTAGCTGTCAAATGGAGAACTAATACAACCTATCACTTAGTGTTGTTGTGAATCTTAAATTAGCTTATTCATGTAAAATACTTAGAACAATGCAGAGCATGTACTAAGCATTCAATGAATATTAGCTATTCATATTCAATATATTATTATTCATTATTATTCTTATAAATTCAAATTGGGAAATGTAGAGAGACAAAATTTGTTATCAGAAGGGGTAGAAAATGAAAGATGTCATGAAGTAAGGTTGGGTCATTATAAACCAATATTGCATGCATGCCAGAGCTGTCATAGGACAGAAACTGTAAGTTGGGCAGCTCGTTGGTAGAGAAAGAGAGAAGACACACAAAGAAACATGGAGGGCACAAGAGAGTTTCTATGGCCTTGATTCCTAATGTACACCATTTCTGGTCATTGTCTCAAGTATAATAAATCCATTTTCTAGAAGGCCTCCTTGCAGTGCAACAGCATAACTAAAACTGAGCCACAGACTGTATGAGATTTGATGCTTGGGCTCAAAGAGTTTTCTATTAGTGTTTGTAAACTGGCAATTCCAAAGTAGAAATAAATGATAAAGAGTTTCAAAGTATATTATGGCAACCAGTTGAGCAGTCCTTTAACCTATCTGGGAAAGCGAGAGGATGGTGCAGTCAAGGAGGGCTTCCTGAAGAAGACGATGCCAGTCTTGTATCATAAACTATTGGTAGTAGGGGTTGGGGAAGGAGTCGTAAGAATTCAGCCAGAAGGGGAAGCAAAAGAAGAAGCCCCAAGGTCAGAAACAACCTGGCGTGCACACAGAAATGCAAGCCAGCCTGCTGGCCTGCTAAGTGTGTGGAGGACAGCAGATGCCCAGAATGGATTTAGAGAGTGGGACAGAACTTCATTTAACAAACATTAACTGAATATTCACCATGAGCCAGGCACCATTGAGAAAGCAGGCATAGAGCTATGAACAAGAGTAGTGAGGTTCTTACTCTCTTGAAGCTTGTATGTCAGTGGGAGAAGGCAAACACCATCAAGTTAACAGAAAAATATTAAATTTTAAATAGAAATAAGAACTGTGAAGTAAAAGAAAGCAGGATAAGAGGATAGAAATTGATGTGGTAAGGTGCGGGGAAGCTATTTTAGATAGTTAGCCAGAAAAGGAGATGACATTTGAGCAGAGACCTCAATAAAGAGAGAAAAAGTTGTCGGAAGCTTCTCAAAGTAGATTTAGGTAAGAGATTATCGTGGCCTAAAATAGGGTGGAGCTGGTTGAGATGGAGGCAAGGAAGCAGTTCTTAAACATTTCTGAGATAAACATAGCAAGTCTCAGCAGCTGTACAAACGTAGGGTATAAGAAAAAGGAAAGGAGAAAGAAGAACTCCAAAATCTCTAGTTTAAGTAGCAAAGAAGATAGTAGTGCCACAAACTGAGACACAAAATGCAGGAGGAAAAGCAGGTTGGGGATGAAAGATGACGAGTTGTCTTTTAGAACAACATGAAGGTGGTGTAATCCTTTGGATGGCAAAGTCACCAGCAGGAGGAATCTGGAGCTGAAGCAGAGGCATGGGCTGGAGATTTGGACTTGGGAGTGAGTGGTAGATGGGTGGTAAATGACGCCATTAGCATTACTGAGATTGCCTGTTAGTCAGACAACAAGTGTTTAGTGAGCACTTAATAAGGGCTAGGCTGTGTAGCCACTCCTGAAAGAGCCTGAAAAAAAATCTCTACACAAGTAAAATGATTTCAAGTACTGATGATAGGGGCTATGAATAAATTAAAGTCATAAGATAAAGAGTATTGGCAGGGAGGAGACAGTGGTGGCAGAGATTGCTATGGCTATGGTGGCCAAGAAGATCCTTCAAGAGGACATGATTTTTGAAGTGAAAGCTGAATAAGATACTTCCTTGTAAAAATCTAGATAAAGACCCTTTGAAACAAAAGAAGTTATATCTTTAGGTCTTGAGATGGAAGTGGACTTGGTGTGTCTCAAGGACAAGTGAAAGGCCAGAGTACCCTGGACAGAGTAAGTGACACAGGCTGGAGGGAGGTGAGAAAGTCAGGGTGAGCTAGATTGAGTTTTATCCTGAAGAATGTGTAGAGTGAGCAGATCAGAAGGCTGAGGAAAGATTCCTGGAAAATACCTGCCTGAAGGACAAAGGGAATATGATGTCATAGGGATCAAGAGAGAGTAAACTTTTGAGGAGCAAGTGATAAATCCTCCAACAGCAATAAACATTCACAACACAGAATGGCTCCTATTTTGTGAAGGATAGAACAAAAGGATCATTGAACTCCATCCACAGCCCACTCACAAGCTAAAGGCCCAAGAAGCAAGCTCATTATCATGCCACAGTTTCTTTAGTTTTCTCTTTCAACATAACAGCTTTAGTTTACATAGTGATGTATATATCATCACGGAATCAATATCCACAGGACTTTTAGCATAGCTGCAAAAAAATATTTCTGCATTATATGCAATCACTGTGCAAATGAGAAAATGTAAGTACACAAAAGCTAAATGGCTTTTCCAGGTCAGTAGAGGCCTAAGCTGAAAACAGCATCCCTGTCTACTTATTCTGAAGTTATTTTCATTTTGCATCTAGTTCATGCCTCTGTTGGGGGAAAGCTATCTTTAGAAGTTTTATGGATTGTCAAACCACAGGATGGCCCAGACTATAAACTGCCTCTCTTGATCCACAGGCACAACACTTCGCTTGGACGTCTGGGATGGATGGAAGGAATTTCTGATGGGTTGTCTCCTTGGACAAAAACTAAAAGTCCAGCGCTATTTATCAAATGAAAGACCAGTACTTAAGTATGGAGATAAAGCAAATGCTAAATTAATTTATGTAATTTTTATTGAACTTTCATAGGACCTTAAGTCTGCACTCCACAGCTAGTGTGCTGCTCCATGCTAAGTTCCACTTAGCACGTCTCAACCAGACATCATTATTGAGATATTTGCTGGAATAAGACAGCAGGGACGCCAGTAGGGTTGATGACCTTTGGAGATGGATTGTAATTAGGGTAGACATTCTTTAGGAAACAGTATTTAAATGGGTGATTTCAGTTTGGTTTGGATGTCAGACCTTTAACAGCTCCTTTTAATGCTATCAGAATAATTATCTTGACACTCTCACATGCAATTATTCTTAAAAAAATAAACCTCACTATTTGCTAATCGATTGGCTAAAATCATTGGCTGCCTTTTCCTAAGCTCCCAAGTAATTTTTCAAACTGCAATTTAGTACAAAATTCATACTTTTGCAGTACATAAAGTAGAATATGTGTGGCTGGAGCAGTGGAGGAAGGTAGGCTCCTGATAATTTAATTCTAGTGCTCATGTGCTTAACCATTTCCATTTGACTTAAAATTTATATGAAATCTAAGAGCTCAGAGGATATAAATGATCACAATGAAAAGCTCTTTTTATTCCTCTACTCAATTAACAATTATCTATTGGGTATTTGCTATGTATTATGCAAAATCCTAGGAATATAGTGATAAACAAGGTATGGTTCATGCTTTAAGCAAGCTTAC